TTGGAGTTACATTGTGTTTAAGTGTTCCCTTTATTTTTTTGAGCAGTGTATCTATCCAATGTTATCATGATTTGTTATAAGGGATATTATACTTTAGTAATCCACAATGACCTGGTGAGGTAAAAGTCTAATAATGACATTTCCATATACCTACAGATACCTTGTAACTGGAGATTCCTTCAAAACGATTGCCTAGGGCACTGCAAGGTTGGGTGACCAAGGCCATCTGGGACTGCCTCATGGGGGAATTCAGGCGTGTGAAGGATAACCTGTGTCCTGCATAACTTCATGAGGATGGACACGAGGACCAGGAGGGGGATCTGCAGCTCGCCGCCGTGTACCAGAGGAGAGGTCTACTGCTGTGCAGGATGTTACAAGGATGGGGGCCAACAATGCAGCACGGGAGGTAATCCATGTGCGTGAGATCTTCACCTCCTACTTCTTTGAAGAGGGTGCTGTTCCCTGACAACACCATAGAATACACTATGCACAACCAAATGCTCTTTTAAGAGCCATTCACATAGTAATAAAAGTTATTCCATTTACTTAGCTATGTCAACTGCAGTTATTCAATTCCCAATTTCTCTACTTTTGATTTCTACTTCTCAGGTGAGGGTGCTGTTCAGGTAAGGGTGGTGTCTGTACAAAAACAAAACAGGCTCTTTTAAGAGTCACCCATATTGAAAACAAATAGGATAATTAGACACCCTATAACCCACACACTCGTGTATCAATCTGATTGATGATTGTGTTGTGCAGTAAGCAGGCTCAGGTGTATAACTGTGGCTCCTTCCACCTTCAAAGAATAGGCAAGAGGACCAACCATGGATAATAGTAAGACACTTCATTGTTTCTATTTATATAACTATGCTATATTGTTTGTCCTCATGTGCCTGTGCATGTTTTTCAGTATAAAGTACTCTGCAGCCACTTTGTGTGGTCTCACCTGGTGTCCACACTCAGATTCCTGTTGAACATTGTGTCTTTAACTGCCTTAACTTCATCCCCCTTCTCCCTAAATCCTCTAGGTTATATCAGCTGTGTCGGTGAACCCCTCCCGCATCTGAACTGGCTGACAGAGGGCACTTGGTCGGGTCAACAGGAAGTATTATTAAAGAGATGCTTTACATTGAAATACAGAGAGATGTAGTAGTCCCAGAGTTAATGATACAAGGTCAGTTTTGCATTTCACCTTCTGATGATTATGATGACTGACAGTGTTAGCATGATTAAGCCTGATTAAGTTTTATTTTATTCTGTCTTTCGTCTGCAGGTATGTTTTGATGTGAGAGCGAGTACCAACCCCCGGTCCCGTCATCACCATCTCACCCGCTCTTAAGATAACCTTCGGACCAACTGGGGGCCCAAGGCTGTTACGAGACACGCTAAAGACACTTGTAATTGTTATGAACTGAGAGAATATTAGGGTAGCACTGTAATTCATGAATCATATGCCGTCTTCCCTGCTCCTCTGTTCTTCCCCTTAGTCTTTAACACTCTTAGACCTCTCTACCCGCCAACTCTTTCTTCCTCTGTTTTTATAACAGGGGGTAAACAGAAGATAGCCCTAAATCCATATTACGGCAAGAACAGCTCAAATAAGCAAAGAGAAACAACAGTCCATCATTAAGACATTAAGGTCAGTCAATCCGGAAAATTTCAATAACGTAAGGGTTATTTTACCAAGAAGAAGAGTGATGGAGTGCTGCATCAGATGACCTGGCCTCCACAATCCCCCGACCTCAACCCAATTCAGATGGTTTGGGGTGAGTCGGACCGCAGAGTGAAGAAAAAGCAGACAATAAGTGCTCAGCATATGTGGGAACTCCTTCAAGACTGTTGGAAAAGCATTCCACGTGAAGCTGGTTGAAAGAATGCCAAGAGTGTGCAAAGCTGTCAAAGGCAAAGGGTGGCATTTTGAAAAATATAAAATATATTTTGATTTGTTTAACACTTTGGTTACTACATTATGCCATATGTGTTATTTCATAGTTTATGTCTTCACTATTATTCTACAATGTAGAAAATAGTAAAAATAAATAAAAACCCTGGAATGAGTAGGTGTCCAAACTTTTGACTGGTACTGTAGCTTCACGTCAGTCCAAAACACCTCACTACGCAAACAATTACGAAATAAGTGTTCAATAGATTGTTTCTAGTTCACGAAAACTGCATTCACTGGTAACATCAGTAGTATATTTAGAAATCAAGCTATTACACTGGTAGAATCTATGGATAATCTTAAAGGAGATCTCCTTTACTTTGTTGGTCACCGTAAATTTGTGTGGAGTGAGCCAAGCACGGCGCCAGTTCACGTCAAACAATGAAGCCGAACAAAATATGGCAGAAGGAATCGATTTCCTGTAGTACATATCCCTTAAGAAATTCAACAATCATTTATTATCTACACTAAACAAATATATAAACGCAACATTTGATTTGCAACAATTCCAAAGATTTTACTGAGTTACAGTTCATATAAGGTTCAGTCAATTTAAATAAATTCATTAGGCCATAATCTATGGATTTCACATGACTGGGAATACAGATATGCATCTGTTGGTCGCAGATACCATTAAAAAAAAGGTAGGGGCGTGTATCAGGTGCCCCTGTGTAATGATCATGCTGTTTAATCAGCTTCTTGATATGCCACACCTGTCAGGTGGATGGATTATCTTGGCAAAGGAGAAATGCTCACTAACAGGGATGTAAACAAATTTGTGCACAACATTTGAGATAAGCTTTCTGTGCATATGGAACATTTCTGGGATCTTTAATTTCAGCTCATTAAACATAGGACCAACACTTTACATGTTGTGTTTATATTTTTGTTCAGTATAGTAAACCTATGCCATTCACCTGGATATCACTTACAGTAGATGTTCTAGAATATGCCTTATTCTGTAGTAAAGATTTTATCCCACTAGGTATAGCCTTTAGAACAATGTTATATTCCTTGCTTGAAACCTCAAAGTTGTCTCTTTCCATAATCGCTCTGTATATTTGCTGACTAGGACAATTTTTTCGAGAACCAATTACGGTAAAATAACATCTTGTTTCTATGTAACATAGACCCATTATTCCATATAAAACATTTATGAGGTGAAAAGTTGTGTTTATACAGCAAAGCCCAACACATTAAAGCCTGCTTGTGAAAGCTGCCAATTACACAGGAAGTTTACTAACAATATAAGGACATTGTAGTAAAACATTAAGCCCTCCAAGCTTCTGAAAAACGAAATGAAAATGTTTTTCCATATGAAGTTCTCTATAGAATCAAGGAGTTCCATAGAGTCACTCAAACTGTTATCTAAGGAGTAAAGATTCTCATAAAACTTTGTGGTAAAGTCTGAGAACTCTATCCTCAGAGGTTACCCCATGAATCTTACATTTCCTGTGTGTCGAGTTTCTCTCTTCTCTCTTCCAAATTAAAAAAGTATCTGTTCTTTTTCGCCTTTTTCAAGTAATTGTTTTCTGGACCTTAAGGCTCCTCTAGGCTTTTCCTCATATAATTTATCTAGTTCATTCTTTAAATCATAAAACGTAGCCTTCTCATTAAGATCAATTTTCTCCTTAAAGCAAGCTGCTTTCCCATCGGTAATTCAAGCTGAGCGGATTAAACATTTCAGCAGTTCCCAATATATCCCATATTCTGCATTAGAGGTAGCTAAATTCCAATAAACAGAAATTAGATTCTTAATAAAACATTTTAAATCATGCAATAACAATGGATTATTCAATTTCTAAAAACCATCAGTGCATTTCTCATCATCACGGCACATTCTTAGTCAGCCGTAGAACTTTATGATCCGTCAGGACTGCAGGCAGTATTTTGACCTCTACCGTGTTGCGGTAATGGAAACACCACTACATTTTTATTTGACAGAACGTTTTTTGTTTTGTTGGTGTGACGTCATTACATCCAGCTGTTTTTATCGACAAGATAGTTAAATGGTAATTGTAACATCTATTTTCTATGCAAACTTTCTAATGTCGACAACAAAAGTTAATGGAAACATAGCTACTGAAACAACCCCACTCTTCCAGCCGCAACCAGACCACAGAGTTACTGTACCGTCTTTGGCAAGACCCTTCTCCACAAGTGCTTGATGGTCTATTTTGACTAAGGTTTAATACCTTTACAAAACATTTTCTTTGGAAACATTTAAGGAAAATGTGCGAATATAGTTTACCGAAATATTATTTGGGGCAGATTAACTTTGCAGAATAAATTAGGAATGCTGAAAAGGACATTTCAATACTTCAGAATTAATTTATTAAAAGCACAATTTAAGAATCGTAATATGAACAAAAACTTTGGACTATTACAGTATATTCATACATTTACTTCAGCGGTGAAGCTGGAAGAAGATGTCAGGCCGTTCATAACTTTTCCCTGCACTCTGGATCACAACGACAATTTAGGATTCTTGACGACCTTTTCATACCAAGCTCACATTTATAATCCCACGCCAGCTCTGTACCAGCTCTGATGCGCCTGAAAAATACAGAGACAATATTATGATGAATATACAGAAGTGCATATTTGAATGCACATGCTTTAGTCCCCCTGGGCATGGGCATTTATTATAGAGCCAAAGACATGAGCATATTAATCCTGGCTTGGACTCTCAAAAGACCAACCATTAGCACAAGCAATAGATAATATCCCATAAGTCATAACAGAAGGTCACTAACTTGCTGGCGAAGAAGGCCACCCAGGGGAATCGAAGGTCATGTGTGTCCACAAAAACATTCTGCGCAAACAGGTTTGGGTGGCAGCTATGCTGTAGGGAGAGAAAAGGGAGGGGGACACAGTGGATGTGAGCTTTATGACTCTTTTTATTCCCATTCATGACGAGTAGTAGGATGAAATTCGTTGTTTACTCCTGCCCTTTATTGTAACCTGGGTAAGATGTTGAGATGGCGGATTTCTGAGAAGTATGGATGTAGGTCAAATCATACAGTCGGCATACTATCCAACACATGATACCTTCTGATTATTCCTCCTCGTGACTCACATTGAGGTAGCGACCCACATTCCCCTCCAGCTTTGCATCAATTATGTAGCATGACTCCTCGCCATCAAAAAAACGCCTTGTGGCGTTTGAGGCCTCCTTGTCATTTCCCTCTGCTTTACCATCCTGCTGGTCAGAAGATTTGTCGTCAGAGCCCGATTTCTTCGCTGGGTCTATGAGAGAGTGTCATTTGATGAGTCTGGGAACCAGTCCTATAACTTATTTTTTTAAATCCAGAAATAAAAGTGGAGAGTTCATGAACAGGTTTCTGTCTATACTTTTGTCTGTGCTTTATTTTCCTTTACCTTCCTACATTATTTTGAGAAACCAACATTTATCAAACCAAATAGGAGTGAATCCTCTACTAAACCTCGGTAACCTTTTTCGTTTCCCTCCATGTTTGCTTTTCACTCAGTATACTTTTCTTTATATAAGGTTTCCTCTTACCCTCCTGTAGTATTTTGGCATGCCTGCGTGTGATGTAGCTCCTCTCCATAGAGGAGACGTTGTGCCTGAACTCAGAGTCGCCATCATCTTCACTGACATCGTAGTCCTTGTCTTCATAATTATCATCACTGAGTTGTTCTTCATCTTCGTCATCCGAGTTGTTCTTCTTCATACGTCGCTGCACTTTCTCGTGGTTTCCCTTCTCTTCCTCATCATTGCTCAAATCATCACCTCCATCACAGTCATCATGTTCACTGTTGACGTCTTCTACGGGCTCTTCTTCTGAACCTGATGGGGAACAGAGGTCGCAATATTACAGAGATGGTCAGTTCTGTTGCTTCTCTTTGCACTCCCTGCGTGTCCACTGGGTGTGTGCATTTACAACTCATGAATCGACACGGAAACCCAATCTATCATTTTCACAATCAAATAAACATAACACACAGATAGGATAGATCTGATGCTATAGCTGCCAGTGAGGCCAGGCTCTCTGCGTATATGTACCTGACTCCTTGTCAGAGCGGCGGGCCTCACTCTCGTAGCCCTCCTTGTTCTCAGCTCCCTCTATGTGGTTCAGGTTGACCATGTACATGTTTCCCTCTGTGCCCAAACTCTTCTTGTTCATGATTATCCCTAAGGGGAGAGATGGCAAAGGGAAAAGTTGTGAGCATTGTGTGCAGTATAACCAGAAGAATGGCATTGGTTGGGTTAAGTTAGGTTAGATTGGGTTCCTAGCTCAGTCTCACCAGTGTAAGTGCAGATGAAGGTGCCCTTGGCAACGTCATCCAGGCAGCGGATTCCCCAGCTCTTCCCCACGGTCATGAAGAGCTGTAGCCGCAGCTGAATGCCGTGCTGCACCACCCGGTTAGAGCACATCCGTGGGTCACAGCGGCACAGTGAATTACACTCATATATACTGCAGACAGAGAGAGGTGGAGAGGGTTGATATAGATATAATAATTGTTATAATAATAAGAGCTTTTCAGACATTGCTCTCAAAGCATGTCACAGATAACACAAATGCAGAGAAAGAGCTGAGAGATAGAGGAGAACATTGAGGTGATGCCAAAGACTGACCAAAAAATACCAAAGACAAACATTCAAAGGGATATTGCGACTGATGGATAATTGACAGATGTACACTATCGTTCAAAAGTTTGGGGTCACTTAGAAATGTCCTTGTTTTCGAAAGAAAAGCAATTTTGTTGTCCATTAAAATAATATCAAATTGATCAGAAATACAGTGTAGACATTGTTAATGTTGTAAATGACTATTGTAGCTGGAAACGGCTGATTTTCCACAGAATATCTACATAGGCATACAGAGGACCATTATCAGCAACCATCAGTCCTGTGTTCCAATGGCACGTTGTGTTTGCTAATCCAAGTTGATCATTTTAAAAGGCTAATTGATCATTAGAAAACCATTTTGCAATTATGTTAGCACAGCTGAAAACTGTTGTGCTGATTAAAGAAGCAAAACTGGCCTTCTTGAGACTAGTTGAGTATCTGGAGCATCAGCAATTGTGGGTTCAATTACAGGCTCAAAATGGCCAGAAACAAATAACTTTCTTCTGAAACTCGTCAGTCTATTCTTGATCTGAGAAATGAAGGCTATTCCATGCGAGAAATTGCCAAGAACTGAAGATCTCATACAACGCTGTGTACTACTCCCTTCACAGAACAGCGCAAACTGGCTCTAACCAGAATAGAAAGAGGAGTGGGAGGCCCCGCTGCACAACTGAGCAAGCAGACAAATACATTAGTGTCTAGTTTGAGAAACAGACGCCTCACTGGTCCTCAACTGGCAGCTTCATTAAATAGTACCCGCAAAACACCAGTCTCAACGTCAACAGTGAAGAGGTGACTCCGGGATGCTGACCTTCTAGGCAGAGTTGCAAAGAAAAAGCCATATCTCAGACTGCCCATCTTAATATTTTCTTTTTATTGCCCAGTCTGAGATATGGCTTTTTCGAACCCACAACTGCTGATGCTCCAGATACTCAACTAGTTTCAAGAAGGCCAGTTGTATTGCTTCTTTAATCAGCACAACCGTTTTCAGCTGTGCTAACATAATTGGAAAAGGGTTTTCTAATGATCAATTAGCCTTTTAAAATGATAAACTTGGATTAGCAAACACAACGTGCCATTGGAACACAGGACTGATGGTTGCTGATAATGGGCCTCTGTACGCCAATGTAGATATTCCATAAAAATATCAGCAGTTTCCAGCTACAATAGCCATTTACAACATTAACAATGTCTACACTGTTTGATGTTATTTTAATGGTCAAAAAAATTGCTTTTCTTTCGAAAACAAGGACATTTCTAAGTGACCCCAAACTTTTGAACGGTAGTGTACATGAAGAGACACATTGACAGCCTCACCCTGTGGAGAGCCGTTTCTCCAGCCTCTTGTGTTTGTAGCCGGCGTTGACGTCCTCAGGTCCCCCTGGTGACAGGGCTGTGGCTTGGATGGTCAGCTGGTGACAGGAGCATGCCGACCTACATCAACACAATATACATGTCCATAAATACACGTCAACACAACCTCCACATACCCCATGTAAAAAAGTAATGACCATCATGCTTTTAGGGAAAGAGGATCATTTTCTACATGTATTAAACTGCGAGTCCTTTAAATAAATTAAAGGAAATACGTTGCAGTGACAGAGAACTTTAACCCATGTGACACACACAACACACACCTGTCCCTGCAGCCGTCGGTGCAGTCGCAGCCCACCAGAAAGTCAGAGCTGGTGTTGAGGGAGACCCCGCTGGCCGCCACGCGCTGCTTGTTGTAGATCACCGAGATTGGCCGGATGTTGTTGAGTTCGTTGATGCAGGACAGCGGCTGGTTCTCTCTGCCCAGCGTCAGGTCTAGGATGTTGATCTTGTAGGGCCGGGGTTGGTGGGTGGTGGTCACAGACACAAAGGGGTCCAGGCAGAACATATCCAGGAAGAGGAAGTCACAGCGGGTCTGTTGAAGGTAGTCCTGCACCGCAGTCATGTTGCTCAGGCTGAGGCCACACGGCGACTGGTAGAAGATGTGGAAATACGTCTGAGAGAGACAGAGACAGAGGGCCCGGAGGAAGGATGTGAGAAAACACAAAGAGAGCGCATAACCACACTAGAGTTTTTAATAACTACAAGGAGTATGAATACTGGATGACAACAGAATAATACATTATTTTCCATCTGCTACAATGGAAATGTGTAATTTGCTCTGCTCCCAACTCCCCAGTTAAGAAGAGCAGTATCAGGCACGATGCAGCACCCCCAGGAGCGGAGTCATCACTATAGGTATTGGCAGAGTTCTGTATAATGAAGTATGACGTTCCAGACAGCTAGGTGCTCACCTTGTTAATGACCTGGACAGAAGTTTCCCCCTAGGCACAGATCTAGGATCAGCTTCCCCTCCCCAATGCAAACCTTAACCATTAGAGGGGAAAACGCTAAACTCACCTAAGATCAGCGTCTAGGGGCAACTTCACCCTACACTTCACCCTACACCCACCTTGTTATTGACCCGGCGGCGGCCTTTCATGCGGCGGAACTCGCAGAGCAGGGGGATGAGCAGCGGGTTGCGTCCACGGTGCTTGGCCTCGACCTTTGACCGGATGCAGTCCAGGCAGGCTGGGCAGCATCGGTGGTGGGTGAAGGTGACCGAACCTTTAGCTGTGATGACAGACGACTTGTCGGTTGTACGGTCCTGGCCATAGGGCCTCCTGACGTGATCAGGGAGAAGATGACATGGGTTTGAGGGAGAATGAACGAGGTATTGTTATTCTGAAACAAGGATCCAAAGGACTAAAGGTCAAATATATACTTATATTTGTCCTGTTTCACACGTGTGTAACCTGTACATTTACATTTACATTTACGTCATTTAGCAGACGCTCTTATCCAGAGCGACTTACAGTTAAGTGCATACATTATTCTTTTGAATTTTCATACCCCATGGGAATCGAACCCACAACCCTGGCGTTGCAAACGCCATGCTCTACCAACTGAGCTACCTCCCTGCCGGCCATTCCCTCCCCTACCCTGGACGACGCTGGGCCAATTGTGCGCCGGTTGCGGCCGGCTACAGCAGAGCCTGGATTCGAACCAGGATCTCTAGTGGCACAGCTAGCACTGCGATGCAGTGCCTTAGACCACTGCGCCACTCGGGAGTGGTGTGTGGTGTGAAATGTAAATGTGTTTTTTGCATATCCCACTCCCCCTGAGACACCCTCGGAGAGTGCACGGCCAGGAATCAGCCATTATTGACGGTGACCCTGGAGCAATAAGGGTTAAGTACCTTCCCCTAGTCGGCTTGGGGATTCGAACTAGCAACCTCTCGGTTACTGGCACAATTATCTAATCACTAGGCTACCTGCTTGCCCTAATCAAATCTAATTATACAGTGCCTTCGGAAAGTATTTAGACCCCTTGACCTTTTCCACATTTTGTTACATTACAGCCTTTTTCTAAAATGGATTAAATACAATCTACACACACTACCGCATAATAACAAAACGAAAACAGGTTTTTAGAATTTTTTGCAAAATTATTTAAAAAACAAAACAGAAATACCTTATTTACATAAGTATTCAGACCCTTTGCTATGAGGCTCGAAATTTGAGCTCAGGTGCATCCTGTTTCCATTGATCATCCTTGAGATGTTTCTAGAACTTGATTGGAGTCCACCTGTGGTAAATTCTGTTGATTGGACATGATTTGGAAAGGCACAAACACACACATATACACTACCGTTCAGAAGTTTGGGGTCACTTAGAAATGTCCTTGTTTTCGAAAGAAAAGCAAATTTTTTGTCCATTAAAATAAACATCAAATTGATCAGAAATACAGTGTAGACATTGTTAATGTAGTAAATGGCTATTGTAGCTGGAAACGGCTGATTTTGTAATGGAATATCTACATAGGCGTACAGAGGCCCATTATCAGCAACCATCAGTCCTGTGTTCCAATGGCATGTTGTGTTTGCTAATCCAAGTTGATCATTTTAAAAGGCTAATTGATCATAAGAAAACCACTTTGCAATTATGTTAGCACAGCTGAAAACTGGCCTTCTTGAGATTAGTTGAGTATCTGGAGTACCAAAACATTTCTGCAGCATTGAAGGTCCCCAGGAACACAGTGGCCTCCATCATTCTTAAATGGAAGAAGTTTGGAACCACCAAGACTCTTCCTAGAGCTGGTCGCCCGGCCAAACTGAGCAATCGGAGGAGAAGGGCCTTGGTCAGGGAGGTAACCAAGAACCCGATGGTCACTCTGACAGAGCTCCAGAGTTCCTCTGTGGAGATGGGAGAACCTTCCAGAAGGACAACCATCTCTGCAGCACTCCACCAATCAGGCCTTTATGGTAGAGTGGCCAGACGGAAGCCACTCCTCAGTAAAAGGCACATGACAGCCCTGCTTGGAGTTTGCCAAAAGGCACCTAAAGACTCTCAGACCATGAGAAACAAGATTCTCTGATCTGATGAAACCAAGATTGAACTCTTTGGCCTGAATGCCAAGCGTCACATCTGGCGGAAACCTGGCACCATCCCTACGGTGAAGCATTGTGGTGGCAGCATCATGCTGTTGGGATGTTTTTCAGCGGCAGGGACTGGGAGACTAGTCAGGATCGAGGGAAACATGAACGGAGCAAAGTACAGAGAGATCCTTGATGAAAACCTGCTCCAGAGCGCTCAGGACCTCAGACTGGGGCGAAGGTTCACCATCCAACAGGACAACGATCCTAAGCACACAGCCAAGACAACGCAGGAGTGGCTTCGGGACAAGTCTCAATGTCCTTTAGTGGCCCAGCCAGAACCCGGACTTGAACCCATTCGAACATCTCTGGAGAGACCTGAACATAGCTGTGCAGCAATGCTCCCCATCCAACCTGACAGAGCTTGAGAGGATATGTAGAGAGAAAATCTCCAAATACAGGTGTGCCGAGCTTGTAGCGTAATACCCAAGAAGACTCAAGGCTGTAATCGCTGCCAAACGTGCTTCAACAAAGTACAGCGTAAAGGGTCTGAATACTTATGTAAATGTCATATTTCTGTGTTTTTTTGTGTGTTTTCTGCAAACATTTCTCAAAACCTGTTTTTGCTTTGTCATTATGTGTTATTGTGTGTAGATCGATGAGAAGAAAAAAACTATTCAATCCATTTTAGAATAAGGCTGTAATGTAACAAAATGTGGAAAAAGTCAAGGGGTCTGAACACTTTCCGAAATGTACTGTAAATGTATGCAGGAAATACATATTCATGAAATTCGTGGAAGACGCACTTTTGAAAATAGTACAGCAACACAGTATAAACACAGACATACATTCTACTCACCCTAAGGGTGCGGAGGGGTTGACGTGCGGTTTGCTGGCATTGGCCATGCTAGTCTGGTGGATGGTATTAGTAGTCGAAACTGATCCCCCTGGGTGATGGACAAAGAGAGAGTGTGCTCGTGAAATAAACACATTGTCCACTTTATGAATCCAAGTACAGGAATGATTCAAAGTACTGTGCACACCATGGAAGGAAACAGACAGCAGACTTAGATGCTCATTCATTCAGACAGACAAGGCTGTAGATGTGTTCCTATTTATCTACAGGACACAGTAACACACAGAGACAGACAGATGGCTAGACAGACATAAAGAAAGACAAAGACAGACTGACATTTACCAGTGTTGGGCCGTGTCACTGCTGGTTTATCCTTTGCCTCCTCAGCACGTTTCTTTATGTTGGCCATATGCTCCAGACGCAAAGAGCCTCGATACACCCATTCCTTATGTTCGTCATCCTGAGAACACACACACTTTACTTTACCACACAATGACACATACAGGAAAAAAGGCTTTGGAAGAATTGGACTTTAGTTAGGTAAGCATCACCAGAATACCAAGCACAATATACTGCAAGTCAATCACTATCACTTCAATCAATGGTTACAGAGTAAGCAGTTGTAGCTTCTCACCTTGAAGACGACACACAACAAGCTGCAGTCGATCTGCTCTACTTCCGTCCTCCTCTGGACCCCCTCAAACTCCACGTTGACGAGCTGGCCTGGTCTGTACTGGGCCATGGGTGGGTAGGGGTACACCTTGATGTAATCCTTGATGAACTCCCTGTTGGCCTCATTCTCTATGTCCTCCCACACCTCCGGCACTTAAGTCGATAGAGAGAGAGAGACAGTAGGCTTAGTTTGTGTGTGTGTATGTACGCATGTGTGCGTTTTCCTGCAAGAATCTCACCATGCCTCCATTGCAGATTAAACTTATTGTATGACAACTGCCACATTATGAGTTTCTTTGCTCCATACAAGCCAATGAATTGAAAAATTGATAACTCAAAGTGTATTACTTTGGTATATACTTATATTGTCGCACAGGTGGATTCAGCAACTACAAGGTAATAGCTGGATCTGAATAAGACATCTTACATTTGGTAGGAGGATCAAACAGGATTAAGCCAAGAAGTATTGAGTAATAGTTAAAGAGAGAGAAAATAATTGTCCGAGGCTGTTCTTACGTGGTCTGCAAACAATGTGAATATCCGGCAAGCCTACATAGGAAGGTGTGCCGTCATCAAAAAAGATCAAGAACCTGAAACACAAGGGTGAGCGCCCCAGAGCTTTACTAAGGCATTGATGGATCATATTCAGCATTATGTTGACATATATCATCCAACCACACCCACACCCACACACAATAACTATCACTCTCACACACAAAGGGCTGGTCCTGGCCGTTCTTTTTCCAGATGTTGAAATCAGGTTCATTTTCGGTTCTGAGTGAAAGTTGAAAAGACATCATTTATAGCTGTCTATGTTTGGGCAAAATCAAGGCTGGTCCAGACCGGACAAAATCTGAACCAAAAATAGATGTCTATGATTGGTTCCGATTTGGTCCCATCCATGTGGTAGGCCCACCGTTTGTAAAACAGGCCGTTGCATTGACTTTATTAGTCCTGAATCCCGTGTTTAATCAATTTAGCTATTTAAAGCTCTGAATATCAGCTACCCAACTTCATCTGGAGTTACCCTGAGCCTATTTGCAATGTCTTTACACAGCGGGAAATGCAGAAGTATTTTCTTTTTCACTATGATCAGCTCGTAAAAAATATATGGATACAAACTTGAAACCACTGATCATGACAATTTAGCCCACGGGATGAAACTCCTGGACAGCATTTGTGAGTAGCCTTATTGTTCATTTTATTTTCACCTGTCCTGTTTATAGGATATGTTTGTTAACATGTCAGCACATTTATTATTTGATTGGGTGCCATTTAGGTTAGGCTATTTGATCTGCGAAACCTGCATGCTGTAAAAAGTTTCCGTCTGTACGCTACAGAAAAGGTAAAATACTATTTCTATCATATGCTATATCTGCGACATGATTTATGTTTTTTGACGGAATGTTGGTGGAGCACCGTAGCGATGCAGTTCTCTAATAGCACCCTGGAGAGGTGCGCTGGGAACGGACAATATAAATATTTTGTGTCCCTGCCTTTGGCAAAGTGGGCACTGCTCATCACAGGGCGGCATCAGCGCTCACCTAAAAAGCCCATATGCCACTGGTTGAGAAAAATTGTCATTGTTTTTGGGCAGAATTACCTGTTGTTGGAGGTGAGTCTTGGTCAGTTTTGCTCAGAAAATGACACCCTCGTCAATCTACCGCCATGGCGGCCACCTAATCCTGCCTAATGAGCAGGCTGGCCCTGCGCACACCAACCCAATCACATACACCCACCCACTTAACGCTCATACCTCATGCGGTTCTTTCGGTTGGGGAGTTCAGCCAGAATGCCAGAGTAGAACCAGGACTGGTCGACATCCTTGAACTTGGCCACCACGCGCATGCCCACGTACAGCTGCTCCAGCAAAGCGGTGTTGTCAAAGGCTATGTGGTGTCCTGACAGCATGCTCCTCCCCTTCTCGCTAAAGCCCACCTTATACCTGCTTCCATTCTCTGTGGAGCATCAATGTTTGAGATATAGCGAGCATGGAGAAAACTAAGAAATATGTACAGGACATTTACTGATATACAAGAACAGAAATAACCGGTGGTTGTGTGTGTTCTTACCTGTTCGTTTGATTTCTGTTATCCTGCCTTGGTGCCAGGTATTGGTCCTCCTCCTAGCCAGGACCATCATGTCTGTCTTGATCTCCTCCTCTGTGAGACCGGGGGGTGGCTGAGTCGCGGGGTTGGGTGCATGGGTCGGCGCTTGCAACACGCTGGTCACCACAAACGGAGTGGCTTCGGCAGGTTCTCTTCTCTTCTCTTCACCTTTTCTCAGCCGTCCACGTTTGCTTGACTTGGGATGTTTTGTTAAGACCTTTTTTGATTTTGATGGAGGAGAATAATCATCGCTGTGGTCTTCCTGTGGACTTGGTGGTTCAGACTCTGACAGTGCAAGGGGAGTTGCTGGGGTATCACTAGAGCGTGAGGCTTTATTTGGGGCAACAGAAAAAGTCACAGAAGGGGTGGTCACAGCTGGAGAAGATGGCATGCTCTCCATGTCATATGCCATGTCATTGTACTAAGGAAGAATGAGAAAAGAGCATGTCAGGAGCATGGCCGAGCCCACACACGTAGAAGTGTGTGTGTGTGTGTGTGTGTGTGTGAGAGCATTTTAATACTATCTGGCTTAGTTCTCACATCTTCTGTGTCACTGTCTGTAGCTGTGACTTCTTCAGGTGCAGCTTCAGGAGCAGCAACTGATAAAAAGACAGAGGAGGTGAATGAAAGAATAAAGCATAACGGATTGACATGACATAAAAAAGACTTCCCATTCAAACAACATCTCCCTCCATCCCTTACAGCAGGGTTTCCCAAACTCGGTCCTAGGCCTGATTTTCGGTGCCAGGTGCGCCAGATACAGTATATCAGAAACGGCCGCCCTTCTGGGCTTTTCACGCACGATACTGTCTAGAGTTTACCGAGAATGGTGCGACAAACAAAAAACATCCAGTCAGCGGGAGTTCTGTGGGTGAAAACAGCTCATTGATGAGAGAGTTCGAAGGAGAATGGCAAGAATCGTGCAAGCTAATGGGGCGGGCCACAAACAGACAAATAATGGCGCAGTACAACAGTGGTGTGCAGAACTGCAACACGGAACCCACAACTCATCGGTCCTTGTCACGGATAGGCTATTGCAGCAGACGACCACACCGGGTTCCACTCCAATCAGCTAAAAACAAGAAGAAGCAGCTCCAGTGGGCACACGATCAACACTGGACATCTGAGGAGTGGGAAAAAATTGCCTGGTCCGACGGATCCCGGTTCCTGTTGCAGCATGCCTCCATCCTACCTGGTGTTAACGGTACAGGCTGGTGACGGTGTACTGGTGTGGGGAATGTTTTCCTGGCACACGTTAGGTCCCTTGATAGTAACGATTGAATGTCACAGCGTATCTGAACATTGTTGCTGACCAAACCCAATAGATCTTTGGGATGAGATGGAACGGGGTTTTCGCAGCATGAATGTACCACCATTCAATCTGCAGCTCCTGCGAGATGCCATCGCTTCAGCATGGACCAACATCACTGTGGAACGTTTCCGACACCTTGTAGAATCCATGCCCCGATGAATTCATAGATGGGTGTAACTAATAAACTGTGTTATATACATACATATATATACACACACACACATACATACACACATATATACATATACACATATATACACACACAGCGCCTTCGTAAAGTATTCAGACCCCTTGACTTTTTCCACATTTTGGTACGTTACACCCTTATTCTAAAATGGATTAAATAAATAGAAATCCCTCAACAATCTACACACAATACCCCATAATGACGAAGAGAAAACTGGTTTTTATAAATTTTTGCAAATATTAAAAAGAAATACCTTATTTACATAAGTATTCAGACCCTCTGCTATGAGACTCGAAATTGAGCTCAGGTGCATCCTGTTTCCACTGATCATTCTTGAGATGTTTCTACAACTTGATTGGAGTCCACCTGTGGTAAATTCAATTGATTGGACATGATTTGGAAAGGCAAACACCTGTCTATATAAAGGTCCCACAGTTGACAGTGCATGTCAGAGTAAAAACCAAGCCATGAGGTCGAAGGAATTGTCCATAGAGCTCCGAGACAGGATTGTGTCGAGGCACAGGTCTGAGGAAGGGTACCGAAAACATTTCTGCAGCATTGAAGGTCCCCAGGAACACAGTGGCCTCCATCATTCTTAAATGGAAGAAGTTTGGAACCACCAAGACTCTTCCTAGAGCTGGCCACCCGGTCAAACTGAGCAATCGGGGAAGAAGGGCCTTGGTCAGGGAGGTGACCAAGAACCCGATGGTCAGTCTGACAGAGCTCCAGAGTTCCTCTGTGGAGATGGGAGAACCTTCCAGAAGGACAACCATCTCTGCAGCACTCCACCAATCAGGCCTTTATGGTAAAGTGGCCAGAAGAAAGCCACTCCTCAGTAAAAAAAGGCACATGACTGCCCGCTTGGAGTTTGCCAAAAGGCACCTAAAGACTCTCAGACCATGAGAAACAAGATTCTCTGGTCTGATGAAACCAAGATTGAACTCGTTGGCCTGATTGCCAAGCGTCACGTCTGGAAGAAACCTGGCTCCATCCCTACGGTGAAGCATTGTGGTGGCAGCATCATGCTGTGGGGATGTTTTTCAGCAGCAGGGACTGGGAGACTAGTCAGGATCGAGGGAAACATGAACGGAGAAAAGTACAGAGAGATCCTTGATGAAAACCTGCTCCAGAGCGCTCAGGACCTCAATGTCCTTGAGTGGCCCAGCCAGAGCCCGGACTTGAACCCGATCGAACATCTCTGGAGAGACCGGAAAAAAGCTGTGCAGCAACGCTCCCCATCCAACCTGACATAGCTTGAGAGGATCTGCAGAGAAGAATGAGAGGATCTGCAGAGAAGAATGGGAGAAACTCCCCAAATACAGGTTTGCCAAGCTTGTAGCGTCATAACCAAAAAGACTCGAGGTTATAATCTCTGCCTAAGGTGCTTCAACAAAGTTCTGCATAAAGGGTCTGAATACTTCTGTAAATGTGATATTTCAGTATAATGTTTTTATACATTTGCACAAATTTATAAAAACCTGTTTCCACTTTGTCATTGTAGATTGATGATGAATATAATTTAACCAATTTTAGAATAAGTCTGTAACATTTTGTTAGGTTACAGCCTTATTCAAAAATGTGTTGTTTCTTTCCTCATCAATCTACACACAATACCCTATAATAACAAAGTAAAACAGGTTTAGACATTTTTGCTAATTTTTTAAAAATTAAAAACTGAAATATCACATTTATAAAAGTATTCAGACCCTTTACTCAGTACTTTGTTGAAGCAGTCTTGAGTCTTCTTGGGTATGATGTTACAAGCTTGGGACACCTGAATTTGAGGAGTTTCTCCCATTCTTCTCTGCAGATCCTCTCAAGCTCTGTCAGGTTGGATGGGGAGCGATTCCTTCGACCTCATGGCTTGGTTTTTGCTCTGACATGCACTGTCAACTGTGGGACATTATATAGACAGGTGTGTGCCTTTACAAATCATGTCCAATCAAATTAATTTACCACAGGTGGACTCCAATCAAGTTGTAGAAACATCTCGCACCTGAGTTGTAGAAACCGGACGCACCTGAGCTCAATTTCGAGTCTCAAAGCAAAGGGTCTGAATACTTATGTAAATAAGGTATTTGTCTTCTATTTTCAATAAATTAGCAAAACATTATAAATAACCTGTTTTCGATTTGTCATTATGGGGTATTGTGTGTAGATTGCTGAGGATTTTTTTTTTTCCAATCCATTTCAGAATAAGGCTGTAACGTAACAAAATGTGGAAAAAGTCAAGGAGTCCTAGCCTACCCCTTTCAGGTAATACATTCAATGCAGTTATTAGCCTTATATTTAGCTAATGAATGATGGGTTATGCATAAGCTTCTAACTTTAGCCTCTTTCTCTTGCGCAATACGCACCTGTGCTCTGCTGGCCTCTCTCCTTAGCTCTTGGAGACCCAGCTTGCTGGACATTTATTTTCTTATACTAATAGACTATTCGAAGAGAGCCGCAAGCTCTTGTTTGCTGAATGTTAAATACAGCAGCCAATAGAACTCACAGGGAGTTTGAAAGAAGAGAGAACCGGGGATGGCGGTAGGCTATAGCAGTTATTTTTTCAAATCAAACTTGATTTGTACAGCACATTTCAGACATGGAATGCAACCCAATGTCCTTCACAAAAAAATGAATACAATGAAAAAAAAAAAAAAAACTAATATTTACTACACAACAAACATATGATAAAACAAAAGAATAACAAAAACTGAACGACTAAAAAGCACCCTAAGGAAAAGCAAACCTAAAAAGGTGTGTTAAATTCTCTTAAATATGTCCACAGTTTCAGCCCCCCTCAGGTTCTCTGGCAGGCTATTCCAGAGGCTGGGGGCATAATAACTAAAGACTGCCTCATCATGCCTCTTGGTCATAGGCTTTGGGATAGCTAAAAGCAGGGGCGGCACTTTTCTTTTCAAAGTGGGGGGGGACTTAACCTGGCGGGAGGTCTGGGGGTCCTCCCCCACCAGATTTTTTTGGGCCATCTAAAGCTCATTTCCTACATTTCTACACAATCCAATAAGCAGTCTCTATTTAGAACAAAAAGTAAGCAAAAATGCCCACAGTAACCAAGCTAGTAGCTAGGTAAGAGATCATTATTAAATATGTTTAAGTTATTAATAAGACTGAACTAGATCAAAGGTAATTCAATAAGAAATATTGTGTTGCACCTTTAACCAATAGGTCTAACAAATGAAAAAATACAAAGACTTTTGATTGTCTTTATTAAGACATCCTCTATATCAAAGTATTGATTACCCAGATTTGCCAGTTCTTGCTGTGAGATGTTACCCCACTCTTCCACCAAGGCACCTGCAAGTTCCCAGACATTTCTGGGGGGAATGGCCCTAGCCCTCACCCTCCGATCCAACAGGTCCCAGACGTGCTCAATGGGATTGAGATCCGGGCTCTTCGCTGGCCATGGCAGAACACTGACATTCCTGTCTTGCAGGAAATTACACACAGAACGAGCAGTATGGCTGTTGGCATTGTCATGCTGGAGGGTCATGTCAGGATGAGCCTGCAGGAAGGGTACCACATGAGGGAGGAGGATGTCTTCCATGTAACGCACAGCGTTGAGATTGCCTGCAATGACAACAAGCTCAGTCCGATGATGCTGTGACACACCTCCCAGACCATGACGGACCCTCCACCCTCCAAATCGATCCCACTCCGGAGTACAGGCCTCGGTGTAACGCTCATTCCTTCGACGATAAACGCGAATCCGACCATCACCCCTGGTGAGACAAAACCGCGACTCGTCAGTGAAGAGCACTTTTTGCCAGTCCTGTCTGGTCCAGCGACGGTGGGTTTGTGCCCATTGGCGATGTTGTTGCCGGTGAGGTCTGGTGAGGACCTGCCTTACAACAGGCCTACAAGCCCTCAGTCCAGCCTCTCTCAGCCTATTGCGGACAGTCTGAGCACTGATGGAGGGATTGTGTGTTCCTGGTGTAACGCGGGCAGTTGTTGTTGCCATCCTGTACCTGTCCCGCAGGTGTGATGTTCGGATGTACCGATCCTGTGCAGGTGTTGTTACACGTGATAATGGAAAGAAGTGGATGGTGATCAACCAACGTGAGTTGAAGTGCAACCAAAAATTGCAATCATTGA